AACACTGATGCCCCCGTATGGCAACTTACAGCAAAGGTTAAACTTTCTGAAATGCAAATCAAATATGTTGGTACCCAAAATAAGGTCTTGTCTCGGGGAATATACCTGTGAAACATGAAAGCCCTAGCAACAACCATTGAATAGATATGGAAAAGGTTAAAACTTATCAAAAGTAAGTCAAACATCAAGGTCAAAGTCAAATGGTCAAAATTAATGATGCCAACGGAATTGCCTTCTCACAAGAAATACAAATGTGAAATATGAAAGCCGTAGCACCATCATTCAAAAGTTTTGGCCAAGGTTAAAGTTTTTCAAAAGTAGGTCAAACTCCAAGGTCAATGTCAATGGATTACAATTGTTGGTATCCAAAGGAATGTCTTGTCACAAGGAATAGACATGTTAAATATGAAAGCCCTAGCATCAACCATTCAAAAGTTATGGCTAAAGTTAAAGTTTTTCAAAAGTAGGTTAAACTCAAAGGTCAAAGGGTCAAAGTTGTTGGTATCCAAAGAAAGGCCTTGTCACAAGGATTACATATGTAAAGTATGAAAGCCCTAGCTCAAACCGTTCAAAAGTTATGGCCAAGGTTATAGTTTTCCAAAAGTAGGTCAAACTCAAAGGGTAAAAAACGTTGGTATCCAAAGGAAGGTCTTGTCACAAGGATTACATTTGTGAAGTATGAAAGCCCTAGCACTAACCATTCAAAAGTTATGGCTAAAGTTAAAGTTTTTCAAATGTAGGTCAAACTCCAAGTTCAATGTCAAAGGTCAAAGTTGTTGGTATCCAAAGAAAGGCCTTGTCACAAGAATTACATTTGTGAAGTATGAAACCCTAGCACCAACTGTTCAAAAGTTATGGGCAATGTTAAAGTTTTTCAAAAGTAGGTCAAACTCCTGGGTCAAGGGTCAAAGGGTCAAAGTTGTTGGTATCCAAAGAAAGAACTTGTCACAAGAATTACACATATGAAGTATGAAAGCCCTAGCACCAACCGTTCAAAAGTTATGGCCAAGGTTAATATTCAGTAAAATTTTGCAAAACTGGGTCAAACTCCAAGGTCAAGGTCAAAAGGTCAAATTTGATGGTGCCCAAAGAAAGGTCTTGTCAGAAGGAATACACATGTGAAATATGAAAGCCATAGCTTCTGCCAATCAAAAGCTATGGGCAATGTTAAAGTTTTGCGGACAAACAGATAAACAGACAGACAGACGGACGGACAGGGCAAAAACTATATACCCCCGAATCTTCGATACGGGGGCATAAAAACATCACCAAGATCGGATATTGGGACGGAAGAACAATGTTCCAAATTGAAAAAAAAACCCAGCTTACATCGTAAGAATTTAACAGTTACAAATTGGACATAATGGGACTGAGCGATGTGAGATAGTCGGGCTTTGGTGAATTAAAGGCAACCTCTGTAGAGACCATCTTGTACTCCGGAGCTGAGGAACATCATAGAGGAGTAGGGCTTATACTTAGCAGGAAAGATCGACAAAGCTTGATGGAATGAATCCTGTTAATGACAGACTCATCAGAGCATGCTTTTTCTCCCGCTTGGCTAAGCTAGTAGTAATACAAATATACAGTCCAACAAACGAAGCTCAAGAAGTGGATAAGGACAACTTCTATGAACAGTTACAGAGAGAGATTGCAAAAGTGCCAAAGCATGATATACTGATGGTAATTGGCGATGCAAAAGTTGGAAAGTCAAATGAAGGATGGGAAAGAGTCATGGGACAAGAGAGCACTGGGACTTTGAATGAAAACGGCATGAGGTTAACTGAAATGTGCGCTCTAAGTAACTTAGTAATCTGCCGAACCCTCTTTAAGCACCTTGACATACACACGCTTACATGAGAATCTCCTAATGAAAGAAATAGGAACCAAATTGATCATGTAATGGTGAATGACAGATATAGGAAGTCTGTATGCGATTTAAAGGTTATGCGTAAAGCAGATGCCAATTCAGATCACCATCTAGTACTGGCTAAAGTAAAGGTGAATCTCCACAGAAACTCAAAACAAAGCAAAAGGAAGATGTATGATGTCAGCAAGCTGAAAGATCCAAGAATATGCAAAGGATTCCAGCTTGAAATAAGAAATAGGTTTCAACAACTATCTGAGGGGAAAAACACGGTCAACGAAAACTGGACCCTTCTGAAGGAGGTATATAATGAAACAGCAGAAAAGATCTTGGGCCAAAAGAAAAGGAAACACAAAGAATGGCTTACAGAAACTACAGAGCCACAGATTAAAGAAGAAAGCTAAAAGAAGAAATAGGTAGATCAAAGTCGGAGAGAATAAAGGAAATTAAGAGAGAACAAAAGAAAAAGATGTTAAAAGAAAAGCAAGAGCTGATAAAATGTAAAATCTGGAGGATATAGCAAACCAAGCAGAGAAGCAGAGAAACGCATCAAACACAAATCGCCTGAGTGAAGTTTACCAACTAACCAAGCAGCTCTGTGGAAGAAAAAGAAACGGAACAAGTGGCATATGGTCCAAAAATTGTGAGTTAATCATCGAGAACGGAAAAAATATTGGAAAGACGAAAAGAGCATTTTGAAGATGTCCTTAATGTGCTTATAGAAGCAACAGAATTTCCCGAGGGATGCATCATTCAAGAGAACATAATTGCTGAAATTGACACAGAGAATGGAAAGAGCCCCGGCATAGATAACATCAATGCAGAACTACTAAAGGAGAGCATATCATATACAACATCAGAGTCAACAGATTTAACAGAGTCAACAGTGAGCAGGAAATACCAACAGAATAGATGAGATCGCTCATTGTCAAAATACCTAAGAAAGGAGATTTGACAATATGTGACAACTATAGAGGAATATCACTACTATCAGTGCCATCTAAAGTGTTCTGCGGAATAGTGATTGACAGAAATAGAGATGGAATAGAAGACAGCCTTAAACGAGAGCAAGTTGCATATTGAAGAGGAAGAGGAACATCGGAACAGATTTACATAATAAGAATTATGCCTTTAATAGCATAATAAGAGAGAAACTGGGGGACATACTAGGGCAGTATGGAATTCCTGAAATATATGTGGACATAATCAGGAAATTATATGACGGAAGCTCTAGTTCTGTCATAGAGAATGAAAGGACAACAGACTGGTTCAAGGTACAGGCAGGAGTGAGACAATGATGTGTTATGTCTGGGTTCCTGTTCATCATTGTGGTAGACTGGATAATGAGAAATACCAACAATAGGAAGAGAGGTATACGTTCGAAATTTATGTCCACCTGTATTATGCAGACGATGTCGCACTCATTTCCAGCATATACAGGCTTAAAAATTAATATCGACAAGACAAAAAAGCATGAGAATAAACGGAAAAAAGAATTATGCCATCAGGATAAATAACAAGAAAGTAGATGTTAAAACGTTCCTCTATCTAGCTGCCACAATGGCAAAGACGGGAGGAACTGAGGCAGACATAGGGGAAGGCTAGGCAGGCTTAGCCAGGGTTGCTTTCGCATCCCTTACCGAAGTATGGAAGTCAGCACAAAACAGCAAAAAGACCAAACTTAAGATCTTAAGCAAAAATGTTTTATCTGCGCTGCTGTATTGTCCTGAACTATGGAGAACCACCAAGAAAGATAATGAAAAGCTGGACACATTCCATGGAAGATGCCTTAGGACTGGAGGATCCTAAAAAATACACTGGCCTGAAAAGATATCCAGCCACATTTGCCTGAAAGAGCAAGATCCATACCTCTATCAAGGACGATCAAAGGAAGGAGATAGAGATGGATAGGCCACAGCCTCCGAAGAGAAGCCAGCTTACATACAAGAACAGCTTTCACATCGGCCCCTGAGGGAAAGAGAAGAAGAGGACGGACAAAGAACACCTGGCGACGCTCTGTTGAGAGAGAAAGGGAGGAATTGTGTTGGAGCAGCTGGAAGGAGGGGTAGGTTGTTGCCAGTGACCGCCCTAAGTGGCGTTCTTTGTTGAACGACCTCATCCGTCCTCCGGAGCATGGAGAGGATAAGTAAGTCAGTAACAAGGAACAAATAGCAGATGAGTCTCTATATTCTAGAATATCAATTTTTCAGAATGCCGGAAAATGTATATTCCTAAAAAATTCATTACAATACAACATTTATTTATTTATTTATTTATTTATTTATTTATTTTATTTTTTTTTTTTTACAAATTCTTGTCAACTGCTAACTCCAATGTATTAATTAGATTGTGCAGTAACATATATCTTAAGTATATGAACAAGTCCTTCCTGAGTTCTTGTACATGTATATTGTCTTCGTATATATTGTACATTGAACCTCATGAACCATTAAATGGTCAGATAGAATAAATTAAACTTTAAATTGAACGTATATAATAAATTAGTATTGATTGCTTTGGATCATTAACACAAAATGGATTGTTAACACAAAACACTCAATGCTCAAACAAATATTTTTAAATACAACTGATAACTTTATTTCAGAATATTTAAATTTGTTTTGACTGTATTGTTATCTTTATAATTACATATAATTAACTTTACAATTAATTTTCGATATTTTTTATCGGTATGTAATTTTTAATTTAAAAAAAAAATTACATCTATATTTTGTTTATTAAAGGACCTTTATGTTAATTATTCTACATTCTTATCTGTAACATTTTTCAAAATGTATTGTTTAGATTTAATTTGTGTTTTATTTTACATTTTTATGTTTTAATGATAGTAATTCTCAGGTAAAACAAGATACTCGTACGTGTATATAAAAAACAGACTATAGCCTTCTGATCACTTAGGTATAAAAATCAAAATGTTGGCTATTGGATTTCTCAAAATGTAGGCTGAAGGGAAATAATCCGTTACGATACGTCTGTCTACCCTAAAATATATCCTTTTTTGTCATGGGGCTTTAATTTTTTTTTTAATTCAATATTTGATTTTCCTAACAATTTGAACATAATTTAAATTACAATATCGCCAAAAATTGATTTATCCACCATTTAGTGCATAAACTTAATCATTCGCCACTACTCCTTTCAAAGTTTTCCAGAACAGTTTCATTTCATGCTCGTTGTTTGGTTTTGCAATGTAGCTATTCTTCTTGTAATAGTGTAAGACCTCTAAGGAGAGCTCTGCTTTGGGTATTTCTTCAAGGACCGTCATTATAATTACTTTGCGGTTCATGTGACTCTCCTCTGTTACCGCCATGCGCAGTTCGTAGTTACACCAATGGCTTTTGAGATAAGCACGCGACATGAACACGATTGTCTTTTTGCTGGTGTGAACAGCTGATACAATATTTTTGGAAATTGATTTTCCCGGAGTAAAGTCTCTGTAATGCACACACACATTAAACTGAATGTCGGCATTTTTCTCCAATTGCTCCACAACTTTATCAACGAAGACTCTGTCCTCATCTGCAAAAGACAGAAATACGTCATACTTGTAGCCCTCTTCACATCCCCCTATTGGAGTGTATCCTTTCCTACGCAGACGAAACAAGTACCAGCGATAAATGATAGCCCAGCGCTTCTTGTACACAATAACAACCAGTACAGAGAGTATGAAGAGAATACTGAGAAACTGAACGGGATAAAGCCATTCTCTTTTATCGCGACCTTTGCTGCATTCTTCATTCAAGTGTTGATGAGCTTGGGTTAAGTTACCGTTGTACATTGTGCATTGGTCGGTTGTCGCTAACCGTACGTTCACACTCGATGTGAACAACCAGTTTATAAAGTCCAAATTTTCACAGGAACATAAAATCTTATTATGATGAAAATCTAGTGTCACTGAATGGTTTTGACTCGTCTCATCTAAACTATCTCTGACAGTCTTTGGTAAAGTAGTTAGCTTGTTGAAAGAACAGTCGATGAATTTTAACCTTCGAAGATGACTGATGTCGAGTGTCCAATTTTCTAGTGCATTATTACTGATGTTAAGTTCCTCCAGTTCAATATTATGTTCTAATAATTTTTTTTCAACATCGCTTATTCGGTTGTAACTCATCAGTAGAATCTTTAAAGAGTCTAGTCCCCAGAAAACATTTCCGCTCTCTGTGCGTTTGAAGAAGGGACCCAGAAAATTAAAACTTATATCCAGATAGGTTAAGTTTTTCAAACTGTCAAAGAATCCTTCTTTGATTTCACTACATTGGTTGTGTGATAAAATAAGAGTCCGAATGTTATTGGATTGATTTGCATTAAATGGACCGAGCCACGTATAGTACCCGGCTCGCGATATGTCAATATATTCCAGCATGCTTTGTTTCCTGGTGTTCAAGCGCGGGATGCAGAAGGATCCAGAACCCAAACCTGTGGCAATCAATTTTTGAAGACTAGATGGTAGTAAACGGAGAACATTACTTTCTACCATATCTTTGTTACAATCTATATAATTCGTTTGGTTCTCAAAATATGGTTGGAAATGCACTCTTCTTCGTGATCTAGAGCGATATTTGCGTGTTGAACATTGGAAACTTATGTCAAGTTTTCTAAGTCTTGTTAAATTTGTCATCTCCAAAAAAATCGGGTTTGTTTCAAGGCGGTTGCCGCGGACAGAAACATCTTGGAGGGTTCTTGGCATATAATATATGGCTCCGGATTCTGCTGTTCGGATTTCATTGTATTCCAAGTGAAACGTTTGCAGAAACGTGTTTTGTAGCAGAAGAGATATATTCCTGGGAAAAGGGTACGTAACTCCTACCTGGTTGAAATTGTTTGAATAAATGTGCTTTATTTTGGTCTTGTTAAGTCCGTAACACGCATTGTAGAGATTGTGTAATCCCAACTCGTCATTGTTAGAGATTGAAAGATTTTCAAGAGAAGGAAACGCTGAGAAACATCCTTCTTGAATGTTATCCATTTTGTTCTTGGATAGATCTATCACGCGTAGTTTTTCATAACCCTTTTCATGGCAAAGAATATTGCCTTTGCAGTTTATATAGTGAAGAATTGTGACGTTTTTGGGGATTGACTTAGGTGGCTCAGTCAGCGAGGAACAGGTCACAATCACATCCGTCGAATTATATTTAATGCTACATTTGCCAGATCCTAGTAAATTATGGCATACAGTCGTACAGATGGATGCAGAAAGAATTAGTTCAATATATATTAACATGGTTGCCGTACACAATTATCTCACAAACAAAGTCCTTGCTTAATGTTTTGTATGAAAATATTGGAAATTTTGAGATTAAAAATACTTCCGTGTACTGATAGGTGTGTGTGATTAATGACCTAAACAAATTGAGTGCCGAAATATTTTTTTTTCCGTTTTTCTTTGAAAGAAGGACATGGGCAATCAAGTTCAAAACGGAATTTTACTAGTTAAGGTCAAGAGTTGTGTACGTGATAAAAACGCAGATTTGAAATATGTTCCCTTTAAGTTAATATTCCATACACTGTTGAAAGAGCGTGGGAAAAATGGCAGGATTTTTGAAAAAAATAATTTTCATATATATTATTTGTTAGAATTTATGAATAAATCTTAAAGTAATTTTCAAATTCGACTAAATTTTTTAATCACAAGTTTATGTAGTATAGCATTTGATTTTCCCGTTGTCTTGCAATTTTTTTAAACAAAAAAAGGGGGGGGTATGTAAAGAACAGAAGTGTTACGTTAAGTTTAGCTTGTCGAATTTGCCTGAATTTACATCTGAAACACTGTAATTGAAACAAGCTGATTTTCTTCCCCCAGGCATTATCATAAATTGGAAATGCAACAGTTTTTGGCGATGAAACAAATATTTTAATGTTCATATGATTAATGATATCATTTTCCTTAGAAATTATATATTTTGTTCTTTTTTTGTTGAAAAATAAATCTTTGAAAGAGAAGAAAATGCAAGGAAAAAAATGGTAACAAGTCTTTCACCAGTATGAAAGATAAAGACAATTTTAATGTCTATGTTTTCTTCCTTTTAAAAGAAGTGCTTTGATATGCTTATATTAGCTCACCATGGCCAAAAGCTTCTTACGATTGGACCAATTTCAACCAAATGTGGCACAAGACATCGTTAATTAAAAAAAATTCAAATTCGAGCCAAGGCTCGAGGACCTCTGCTAAGGGGGAATAATTAAAGAATAGTTGCATAATTAGGGAGACACCGCATAATGTTTTCAAGAACCACTTTGCGAGAGAAATGAAACATACGAAAGCTTTCTCAGTGGGTAAATGTGCTCAATTTTAGCAGATAATGGTCCCAAGGGGCTATAAATATATGACAGATACAAAAGTATTCTTTGAAAAGAATCTTTTCAAGAACGGAAGGGCCATAATAATTTGAATTAATATGTTTGTATGCAGATTTGTTAATTTTCCTCCCTTATGAGTTAAGGTAAAATAAAATCCCCAAATCCAAAAACAGCAGAGACATGACTTGTCATATGAATTCAAACTACATTTGAATGCTTGCATGTATGTTGACTCTTTCCCAAAAGCTAGGTCCTAATTTGAGGTCAAATTTTATACGTTTATTATCAGTTTATATAGGAATATTAAAAAAATCTTCATATGAAGAATAGCAGGGCCGTAATTAGTCAAATTCATATGCAAACATCCTCATGCATATGGTGTGAATTCAAGTTTAAGCAAATTAAGGCCTTGGGGCTAAGTTGGGTCCACACCAGGGGTCAAAATTTGAACTTTAAAATGCTACAATTCATACCGTTAATTCAATCTACATCTAATTTTAATTAGATTGACCGTTAATTGAAATTGCTGGATTCATTCATGAACTTTTAGTTTACTGTCCCTATGATATGTCTCATTTATCTATATGATATATAGTATATATGATATCAAGTGGCAAAAGGGGAAAAAAGTAATGAACTCTCGTTCAATTAAGTTGATTTTATTTTACACCCAGGGCATATGGTCTGCAGATCATCACGAATTCGAGTACATATGTTTTTCTCTCGCTTCCTCCTACTATTTGACTTGCCTCATAATTCATGAGATTAATGGACTTCCATACAGTTAAGTTTTTGTTCTTTCAAAGACCCGGTGGACGCTTGTAAAATGAAATTCCCGGTATGATTAGGATTGTATTAGTTTCCTTTTCTTGAAAGAATGCATTTGAATTAGATTTTATTTGCATGGAACCATCTGTGATATAATTATTTCAATATACAGAAAATCATGGGATTGTACATTTGAATGTATGGAGATTTCTTGTAGCACCAAATGATATGTAACTTTTCGTACATTTTGATACAGAGGTGAAAAAAGGATATGCGTGGTAAAAAAAAAGGAAAATTTCATTAATTGCAACACGTACATACCATTTATTTCACAAGAATGTTGGTATTAAACAAGACTTCATTAACAAAAGATTTCAAATGACTATGTTACATCAAAAGTTTAAATCTCAAACCTTAAACTTATCTATAAGATAGTTATAGGTAAGTTAAACTTTTAATGTAACAACTACGCAAGAGACGCCCTTCCATGAAGGTTGAAACTTTCATAAGAACCACACTTTTGTCTTAAATATAAAACCTGTTTTCAATTCTATTGCTATTCAAATTTATTTCTGTAATCGTTTCTTCTCATACATTTTTTGAATTCTATTTGTAGCTCGAGCTGTCGAGGTCGCAAAAGTGTATTCAAATTGACCTTTTTCCCTTTTCCTCATTAGAACTTCGGTGTTTAATTTGCATTATTAGGATAACTATAACATTGGCAAAAGAAGAAAAATGCATCCGTAGGCCAAGAGGTTTTTTTTTCTCTATCGAAAGTTTTGCAAAGTTGCACTCGTGAAATGTGTAGTTTTTCATTCCTATAACGAGTCCCTTCACTCTGAACTCCTTCTGTCTTACCTTTTATCAGGTGTTCGAGGATCATCTGAGGTAATTACTCCAATAGAATATAAAGGTAAATGTTCATCCTTACACTTATTCTTGATTATTTTGATTTTTAAAGGAACCTCTTAGCAGTCGCATGTTTTCCAATTCAGTGATAAACGTTAAGCGTTATAGCATTAACAATGGTAAAGGTCCATGATTTTTTTAAAATTGACAGGATTATCTGATGAAATAATTGTATTACGAGTTAAAAATTGACTATATTTTGGGGTTCTTTCAAACATATATGGGCGGCGGAAAGGGTAAAAAAAAAATACGTTAATGCAAAACGAACAATTAATTTAGCAAAATATGTACTGAAATACAAAACAAACAGCTTAAAATAAATTAAACAAACTCAATAGGAAAATCAACAGACTTCGTTACAAAACGAACGATCACCGATGAAAAAAAACAGCTTAAAATGAAACCAACAGACTCAATTGCGGAGTCAACAGACTCCATTGCAAAACGAACGATCATAGATGCAAAACAGTCATTCACTGAATTGACGCTAGATGGCGCGCAGAAAACAGTCAATATCTGAATTAATGCTAACTGGCACGCGAGTTTGTAAATTATGGAAAGCCAAATGGTTCAATTTTGTTACTGCTTAAAGTACATGTAAAGCCTAATTAGTAGATTGTAAATTTGTAATTCTTAGCAAATTGTACCATCGCAACTTGTGAAACTATCCTGTGAAAAATATACAAGAAAAGTATGTCAATGCACTCATTGTAATTTCGTTTACTGTTTTAAGCTGTTTTTTTTTTTTTATTTCACGACGTTTTTGTGAAATTATTTGTTCGTTTTGCATTAACGTCCTTTATACTGCCCAAAAATATATAAATACTCTGTCAATTTTTTTTTATATATGTATTGATTTAAAAAAAAAATCTGTTTTCATATGAAATAGCTTTTATTGTTTTGCATTCTAAAACATGTTTTCTGGAAAGAAATGTAAAATGTAAATTCTATGAAAAGAAAAATACAACATTAAAAACAAAACAAATAATGTAATTTTTTCTGACACAACCAATTTCCTGTATCTCAATAGAGTTCATGAACATACTATGAGAAGCAATGATTTAAGTTCCATAATGAGGAAGTAAAAAAGAATATTGTAAATGAAGTTGATATATATATATATATATATATATATATATATATATATATATATATATATATATATATATATATATATATATATATATATATATATATATATATATATAAAGCACTAAAAACCAACAACACTGCATATCCTAAGTGTCGGATCTACTAAGTAGATACAAGGTCACGGATGGAAATTTATATAAAGCACTAAAAATGACCAACGACACGAACAATAATAATTGTCAAATTTTCGGGACAACCTGTCCCTTCCTCAGGAATAAGAAAAAAGTTAAGAAGTCATAAAAACAAAGGAAATAGAGAAGCAAAAACAACTAGCACTACTACTAAACTACCAAACACTAAATATTTATAATGTTACATGTTTAATTTGGAGTTTATAAACAGTTGTGAACAAAGAAATCCGGAGCGCTATGAATTGCGTCCGGTCTATCGGGTGTAGTCTGGTGAAGTGTGATTTACATAATTGAACGAATTAATTATCGCTAATTAATTACGGCCAACAGTAAATCGTACATTGTCTTATTCTCTCAAAATAGCGTAACTCTACATGATAAAAAGAAATTAAAGAAAGATAATATGGAAGGACAATTTTGAAATATGAATTTGGATCTCTTTTTTCCGATTTCCAAATTCATAATATATCCAAATTCATATTTCAAAATTGTCCTTCCATATTATATATTTATATATGCCTTACTTAGTCACATAATTAGATTTTATAAATAATTTCTATACTTATCAGGGTTCTAATTGGCGACTAATTTAGTCGCCGTGGCGCCTTAAATTTCCAGTTGGCGCCTAAACCTTTCCACAAGTCGCTAAAATTGGTGACTATTTTAAACTGACTTGGCAACCGTCAAATTCCGGAACCGTATGCATTTTCATCAATGGCGATTTTCATTTTTTCGTGGGGAAAAGAGTATAAAAGTGGGGAAAATCATTTGTCTCCCAATAAATATGTCTTGTTCTTTCCTTTAACACTTGATTTTTCAGTCGGACTCAGCTATTTTAGTCAGCGCAAGTGCGGCCGAAAATTTCACGTCGTTACAGTGCGAACAAGATGTGTTTGTGAAACACTGATGCCCCCGTATGGCAACTTATAGCGAAGATTAAACTTTCTCAAATGCAAATCAAATA